AATTTCTGTGGCTGCAAAATGACGAGCTAAATAACCAGGGCTGCACATAAGTGGTCCGCAGGTGGGCATTCGCTGTCAAAACAAAAGACGCACACAAGATAAGAAGTTGCAACGCGTGTTTGCGTACATAAGATTTTCTGGAGGAGGACAGACATTTGTTTAGAACTCTTAAAGATGTCGAAGAAGCTCCTTTAAGCAATTACTTTGGTGTTCCTCCACCTCCAAAGAAATGTCAGAAGGAGTCCGAACCACAAAAGAAGCGCGTATTCTCGGAAAAGTATAAAAAAAAAAGTATATAAAATTAACCCTTATGTTTGCCTAACTACAACAATTTTGTCTATGAAAGCATTCTGTGTAGGGGTTTGGATAGTGTTCTGCTGTCTGCATCTCAGTATTATTAGTTATCACTTGCTGTTGTTTATGGTATCTAATAGTTATATTTATATTTCAGAGCTATGGCCCAGCAGCATGACCATTACAACAAAGATGTTATACTACTTCCAACTCCATCATGGGGAGTAGTGAGTAAACAAGGTTCAAAATTATGGTTACACAAACGTGTATTCATGTAATGACTTGTACTTAAAGATAATATACCAAAGTAAAGAAGTTTAAAATATTATTCATCATTATAAAAACATATGGACTATACCAGTATAATTTAAAAGTCATAAAAGCATACACACAAACAGAACAGTATATAATAAAATATTTAACTAATATTTAAAATATTTAACTAATTACCAATTGCTGTTCTCCCTATTTATTTTTTGTAGCCTCGAGTTTCTTGGCTTTCTAATGGCTTGTGGCAATAAGCTGGTGTCTCCAAAGCTCCAAGATGGTCAGGAGCTGAATGGGATGCTGATCCTGAAGGTTTTTAAAACCAAAGCCCTCTATGTAAGGCCATCAAGGACACTTTTAGTAAGTTCCTAAAAGAATGAAAAGTAATCATGATTTGGGAAAAAACCATGTCAACAATTGGGCTTCTACCAAAATAGAATATATTTATTTAAAACAAGTGTTTGGGAGCAATCAATATGGATATTTCTTATTTTAATATTTTTAAGATAAGCTATAATTACATGCTTTTGATATATGTTTTTGGTCTTTCTCTGTTGAAGAGTGAATCAGATGAAGACAAAGATCCTTCCCACATCAGCTCCAAATCAGCATTAAGCAGTTGTGCAACTGATAAGGACAGTGACAATGATTGTTTTGAAGTTGATAGTTCAAAAATCCAACAAGACATGAGCAGCCAAGTCACTACAAGGTTAAGAAGTCATGTTAAAGGTGATAACCCTGGCACTAGCAGTGATGAAGAAGATGATACTGGGACCAACTGTATTGGAAGGAGTGTTGGTAAAAGGCAATGAGCAAAGCAAGGAAGTGATGGGAACAGCATTTGTGATGAAGGCTACATGGCAAGAAGTGATGACAAACCTAGCACAAGCAGTCAAATCAGAGATTTCAATGCAAGAAGTGAAGACATTGCATGTTGTACGATAGGCAGAGATGAATCTAGCCAGTTCAGTGGGAGGCGAGATAGAAGGGAGTTGCCTTTTGTTGGAAAGAGCAAATTAGAAGTAGGACCAGGTCTTGGCGCGGCGGAGGGTTGGTAGCTCTCTTATGCTGCTTGCCAGATCTGGTTTAGAGGTGTGTTGAGATTGTTGTACAGTAGGAGGTTGATGTTTGAGTTGGGAGCGAGAGGCGGATGCGAGTGGTAGTACGTCTTATGAGACGGTGCCGCTGCTTCAGATATCCACTGAGTGAAGCGGTCAGCTCGAGCTATACTCGTAGCATTCTGGCGTCTGCTTTAAAGTCCTTCGTGGCTCTCGATCCTCCGTGCCATATCGCTCTGGACCATAGCTCTGACAGTTCTCGCAGTATCCTCGTAAAGACTCGCACTTTCCACCTTTCCTGTGTCACATCGTCGACTGTCATCTCTGCTTGTGTGTGGGTGTCAGACGCTTAGTGAGGATGCATAGTGTTGAGATTGATGGTACGTTGGTTTCCTTGAGCTGTGGTTGTGTTGGCTGTTGTGAATTTGTGTGAAAGAGATAGGAACCGTCAAGCCGTTGTTGTTGTAGCGCAGCTAGTATTTGAGAGGAGCTGACTCAAGAGATGCAAAACGGGGTATTCCGAACCTGTGCCTTGCTGTTCTCTCCATCCTCAGCTATACTTTACTAAAGCCTGTGCTTCAGCTCTGGTTCGACCATGAGCTAGTGTCCTTTGTAGGTGCCCTCTTTTCTGCGTACATAGGACGTTTTATATTGCACTGGCTGCCCAAGATTTGTCTCGTCACATGGCGCTGGTGCCGGATCGCGAGGGTTGGTCGCTCTTCTCTCGTCGCTATTTGCCTGCGCACTTATGTGCCATTGGTAGATCGGAGGGCAGTAAAGGATGTGCGCTGATAACCGTAGTCGTTCGTTGTGGCTTTTGCTTCCTCGCTAGAGGTGGTTCGGGGACGTCTGTTTCTCTTCTTTTGTTGTATCTGGGGTCAGCCTGTAGAGTGTTATTGTTCTTTGTTTATATATTGTTGTTATGTTCGAGCGCTCCGCATATCTTTCTTAACTCCTTTAACTAACTTTGTCCCTTCTCTTCTTTGGCCTAACGGGAGACCGACGCTGCTTCAGATATCCACTGGAGGAAGAGGAGGTAGCATCTGCGTATGCTTGCTTGTCCTCCTCTTCCTCTGACCTTCTGCTCCCCTCTAGAATGAATCCATCCTCCGCTCTGAGCGTGTCTGGATGATGTGCGTTCAGATTGTAGCTGTATTGATGGTCGTTGGTTCCTTGTTGGTTTTCTGTTTGTTGTTGAAGAGATCCCAAGCCTTTTGTGTCCACATATGACACTTCAAACCCGGGTTCGAACTGCCTCTCCTGTTCCTCTCCATCCTCAGCTATACTTAACAGCCTTCTCCTCCTCACCCATCTCTCCTCTTCCTCCTTTCCTGCTGCATTTTTTGCACTGGCTGCCCAATTTCCTCTCTCTGGCTCTTCCCTCTTCTCTCTTCTCCGTCTTTCTCCCCTTGCCCTCTCCCTCGATCCGCTACTCCTTCCTCTGGCTGCCTCTGCTCTCCTTGCCTCTTTTCCTCTTCTTTTTTCTGTCAGCTCCTTAGTGACACCATCTTCCTTAACTCCTCTGACTAACTTTGTCCCACTTCTTCTTTGGCCACTACGCTGACCAGACACCGATCTAGATCCGGCTCTCGATCTGTACAGGTTCTGGCTCATGAGCGGAGCTGGTCGGCCACCTCCTGTCCCCGTCTGCAAATACTGCAGCTCACCAGCGTTACCTCTCATGTTTGGAGTTTGTGTAGGATTTGTGTCACCGAGCGCGGTCATCAGTGCAGATATTGAACCCAGAAGTCCATCCAGACCCATGCAGAAGTGCAGGAGGGAGGTCTTGAGTGAGGGGCAGAGGGTTGAGCGGGCCAGCTCCCTGACAGCTCCTAGAAGGACAGAGTAGGCCTTTTGGTTCTGGGCCAGTCGTGCTTTGTTCTCCAGGCGGTGCCACTGGTCCACTCGAGTGGCAGCACTCGGCAGTGTCAGAGCTGTGCTGTTGGGCCGCGGAGGGGAGAAGTCTTTGTCATTAAATGGAGGGCCAAGATAGGTCAGCTGGGACAGCTCTTCGTCCAATCGCTTATCTTTTGCTTCTTTCCAGATGATGGGATTTATAAATCAAGCTAATAAGGTGGGGTGCTGGAGCTTGGGAGAATACATGGGCTTTGGGTGAGTAACACACAATACAGAAGATTTGGAGTTTTTGAGACCATGATTAATTGTTGGCTTTCCAGACAATTGTTTTAACAAAATTCAGAGAAGATAAATAGTAAAGAACACGTATGGATATAAGGAAGAGAAGATTTTATGTATAGCTTTATACATATTGGCAATCATTTAATCATCAACATAAGATAAGTTCTCTTTAATGAATATTCCAGTTCACGTGCTTTGTACCACAATAGAACTGAATCTTCATGTCTAGGGTGTAAATTGATAAATACACATAAGGTTAGCATTGGTATTACAATAGAGCGTGATTGTTCATACACTCTTTATTTTTTTTTCTCTGTATATTTTTTTTGTATACGTTGTTTTTTTTTAAGGTGGGCGGCGAACGAAAATATAAGCTCTCTTACTAAAAGGCTAGAGTTCAAAGTGAATACCGATAGGAGATGCTACCTGGCTGGAACATATTACAAAAGCAAACATTAGGCACAGAAAAAACCCAGATAACACAAGCAGTATAAGATATAGATAGCAAAATACACGCTGGATATTTATATAAGAGCTGGAACGACGCTGGGAAAGTTCACCCACTTAGGATCTGGTGGGATGTTAGCGATAGGGAAGGGACTTCAAGGTTGGTGTGTTTTGTTGCAAAAGTTATAGAGAACTTATGTGGGCTTATATTCTCCTTTTGGCAAGAGCACTTAGTAATTTGATGTACTTGTTGTGTAACGAGAGCTTTAACCTGGATGGAGATGTATGTATACTTGAGGGGTAGATAAAAAATTCCGATGTAAGCTGGGGAGTTCTGAGTAAGAGTGGGGCAGTTTTGTGGTGGTTTCTTTGGCCTCAGTCTGGGAAAGTCCCAGAATGTGAAGGGCAAGTACATGCAAAAAAAACCAGCGGATGAAGATTCTTTTGTGAGCACTCTCTCTCTCTCTTTTTTTTTGGTTGGTAGTTTGATCGTCTATTCCAAATGCTGGGAGGTTTTTCCTGCTAAATTGGTTCTTCATAGATGCTGGTTCGGCAGGATATGAGAGGCAAATTCAGCTGCCGCAGTGTGTGGGAGAGAGCGCAAAGTAGAAATCTTGAGTGAAGGAAATATTAGCGGGAGCTCTTGTTCATGCGAAGATTGACCTAATAGTTTATGGTAATTCACCACTGATACTGTGTGAAATTCTCAGATGATATGGGGAAAAATGAGGAAGGGGTTGATTTAGGTGGGCCGAGGAGGGAATTCTTGAGACTATTGATGGACACCATTGCCAGGTCAGCCATGTTTGAGGGGAAAGAAAACTGCAAGAACTTGGCTCTTGACAGTACTGGTAATTACCTATTTTTCTAAGATTAATACGGGAACTGTTTAACTGATATTTATTTTTACAGGCAACATTACTGACAATTTTGCTTTTCCTTTTATTCTGTTGCTTTGCAGCTCTCAGAGGGGACTGGTACTACATCTCTGGCAGAGCCATTGCAGTGAGCTTGGTACATGGTGGTCCACCACCTAACTTTCTGTCACCAACAGTATTTTCCCTTCTGGTTGGAAATTCAGCAAATCCAGCCCTGGAAGACATAGCTGACCTGGAACTCTTTGAAAAAGTCAAAAAGGTCTCTATATGTTTATTTTATAAATCTTATAGTGAATTGGAAATAGTTTGTGTTCCAGTTTTCTTTTGCAGGGAGTGTTTATCCGGATCAGTCTGGCCATTGCTGAATGCCAAGTTTTTATATGTTGCTGCTGTATTAAACTAAGACTCAGCAGATAAGGGTAGACGAAAGAGTATATTTTCTCATTTTTTTAAGCACATTGTAAACATATTAAAAAAATATGTGTAGTCATTTGACTTCCAATGTACGCTTGGGCATATTGTGATTGTGTAGACCACTGGTGGCTGGGTTCCTTCTAATAGGTTATAAGACTACTGAGTA